CGACGCATGGGTGTCTTTCAGTTCAGTTTTTTATATTTATGTTTCGTATGAGAACAATCCTGCCATGGATTTACCAACAAATCTACACGAAGGGAATACTAACGATGCATATTAAGATGCATCCAAGTTGTTTTGTGATGATTGGACTGCTGATAACGTGTGTTATTCTTAGCAGAGATAAAGTATTCGTAGCTCATTAGAATTCATACTCCCGATTCCGTGAATGCTGAGGACACTAGGCTATGTCTTGCGGTCAGCACCAACCCGTGCATTAAAGTCTCCCATAATAACAAGTTTGTCTCTATGTAGAACTTTGGAAATGACTGTACGTAGTGGATCATAAAAGTCATAAATTTCCGACAGAGGGGTGTTCAAGGTTGGGGCATAACAGCTCACAAGAGAGGCAGAAGAATTGTTGTCGAGTTCTAAGATTAGAGTCATAATACGATCATTTATTCCTTTCGTTAGACATGACAGGGATTTACCAATGTCTGATTTTATAGCAAAGTCTACATCTGAGAGGCGGGGATCATATTCGCTTTTGCCAATCAAGAAAAAGGTACATCCTGCACTAAATTCCTCAAGTTGAGAGCTGCCTGCAAAATGAGGACTGTTTTACGCTCTGGGGAAAAATCGTTCTCTTGGAGGGTTCTTATATTCCAAGACCCGAGATAATTTTATTTCTAGTAAATCGATTATTGTGACTGCGTTATTGAATAACGAGACAACTGCAGCGGACTGCAAAGTTGATTAAGATCAAGCAATGTTTAGGACACCTTTTCTAGCCCCTTCGCCAGATTAGGGAAAGCAATGCTATGACTAAATAGACCTGCTTTGTCATCATCGGAAGACACGAACAGCATAACTGCTCAGGGTTTTGTGCAAGAACGGCCATCACCCGATGGTCGCCACTGTGGGAGCACCACCGAGAGTCTTCCAGTACTACCCTGTACCTGTGCACGTCGCCTTAACTCTCTCGCTAGTAGATTTGTTGCTCAGGTGGAATAGCAAAGAAGGAACACAGAATTGAACTGCAGACTATCCACACAAAAGATTTGTTTAAAGTGGTGCAGGCTTGTGTAGAACCAGCCACACTTATTGGAAGTGCTGATAACAAGGAGTTGGTGCAAATATTTGCAACGATCACAATGAACAACACCACTCAGGTTTTATTATCACGGACTTATACTTCTCTGGTATTACCAATGCACAGAAGAGTGTAGGGCCTTTCGATGGAAATTTAACGTGATTTAGCCTACCTGCTGAAACGGTTCACAGGGTTTGGCGCGTGGATATGTAGGGGATGGGTGAAGACCAGTGTTGCCCGTCCATCTTAATAATAAGAGCAGCAGCCGAGTAATAAAGATACTACTTCTACCCACTGCCACCTACACGCATAGAACATACATTAGATGCCGGAGTAAACAGATCGTCATCAATGCGCAATATATTGCTACAAAGTATAAATAATTACTGCCGATTTTTTATCTATTATTAGTTACAGTGTAACCCGGATATAAGAGACCCGGATATAAGAGACTTCTTCTCCGGTCCCGACAACTCTCTTATATCCGGGTTACACTGTATATTCAAAGATGTTTTAACAACATTTAATGAATTTTATTTTATTTCTTTACATTTTATTAATTACAAAGTAACATAATTTCAATTTTGTTGAAAACGCGTTCTTTTGTTTCGTTTTTACTACAAGTCATTTTGTTTTATTATTTATCTTTCAAATATTTTGAAACAACAGCAGCAATAATAATAATATAATAATCATAATTATAATAATAGTAATAATACTATATATAGCATACGTTAAACTATATTTGTATCATATACATACATATACATACATACATGCATACTGTACTGTACTGATGCGGCATTCACCCTGGGCGGATTGCGCCGGCTTCTTCCTGTTATGAGAAGAAGATTCTTGGGATAAATTACAGAAGTAGGGTACCCAGGCCTACTCGGATAACGTTCTTGCTTGCCGCGGGGTTCCTACAGACGCAGAGACAGGAACGACCAGAAGCCGCCGGTTACCGATGCAGACGCTCCTTGGATTTTCACCAGAGCCCTTGTTAGCCGGCGTGTGTGTCAGACCTGTCCGCCTTGGGTGGCCCTACCAGGAACGAAGTTCCGGGCGGCATAGCTCTGACACTACCGTTTACACCCCCCCCACCGACTGTGAGGTAAGGGTTGGACTTTGGGGGCTTACAGTACCAGGTGTTCCCAAGCGGTCCCCCATCTAAGTACTGACCTGGCTCTACGATGCTTAACCGGTGTTTCAGCGTGATTTAACCGTAAGCACACATACATGCATAGAGAAAACAAGTTTAGATCTATCGATAAATGTGAGCGGTGTAAAATAAATATCTTACATGAAAAGTCTGTTTCATTTGGAAAAATATTTTCCCAAGAAGCCATTTCTCTTGTTGTGATCCTGACTTCCGCCAGTGTGGATTCATATTGCGGTTGAAACGTGTCCCGGTGAAGATGTATACTCGAAGATTATCTACGTCTTGACCGTACATGAAATACCAGAATTTTAGGCACATATTTACATGGGTCGGGGTTATTGTCCTGCTGAAAAGACGAACGGGACCAACTACACCTTTTGAAGCTTCCACATAAATGTAAGATCCATCTGGGGAAGAAACAAAAAGAAACAAAAATAACCATGTTATACAGTTTACAAGATCTAAGATAAATTTATTTTTAAATCCATCAAAAAAAAAAAAAAAAATTCAATTTGCATTTATTTTCCTATGAAAGCGAAGATATCGTCATTGTCTGTCTTACAGATGATCTATTAACCTGATTTCCAATCAAAGAGAATATATCGAGAAATGATGTGTAAAGGAGAAAGAACAAAAAATGTATTAAACGATTTCTAAAGCCTGGATACAACATCACCTTAAAGAAGGCCGAAGATATAACCAGCAAAAATGTTGAGTTAATAACAGAAGTTGATGAACGAAGTTCGATTAAATCTTCAGAGTTTTCAATATCCTCAAAGAGGTAACGTATATAAAATCTATCAACTACAATATACGAACCCCTTGCACCAAACTGTAGACACCTCAAATAACAAAACCCCTACTTAATGTACCAATATGGACAATTTCAAGTAACTTAGTTCTTATCAACACAGTAGTTTTTATTTATACACATTTTAAAACAAAAATAAGAAAGTAAATCATTTTCGTTTATTTTGCTAACAAGGCTTCATTATTACAATGGATAGGTTTATTTCTCTGAGAACCCCTTAATGAAATCAAAACTATTCTGGTGGTGACGTTCCCTGAAATGGGTTTATTCTTTACCGCCGATCTATGCTGCTTTAATGATCGGAGAAAATGAGTTGCGACAAAAGTCAACTGAATTTAAGATCGAAGAAATGCTTAAAAATGGTAATCATTATTGAAAATGATTCTGGACCTGCTGTGGAATGACGGTCTAAATTATATATATATATATATATATATATATATATATATATATATATATATATATATATATTATTTAAACATGTTTCATCTTAGAAAATTAAATAACATTTCACCATAGATTATAAATTATCTTATTAACGACCATATTATAACAATCTTTTTCTTACATCTTAAAGAAAAGTAATCCAGGTGCGGTTTCTTCCCCAGGGGGATCTTGGAATGAGAAATCTGAGAGCAGAGTTCGAATTCAACTTGCATTCATTACAATCAATGCATACTCGCAAATGCCCCTGGGGAAGTATAAATCCATCTCTTCCCCATTCCCAACGGTGGGTTTAACTGGACAGATTGGGTTTTATAGCCTTGGTTGGCAACCAATCTTTTGGAAAAAAATAATGGCAAAGAAAATAGTCTGCTTAGTCAGTCATGAAACGAAAGATCCCCTAAGAACTTATCATGTACGTCACATAACTGGCAGAATGAACCGGAAAAAATATTTTTTGAAAATGGAATGTTAAATAAAACATTTACGTCTACTTTTAGTAAAATTTAAGTCTTCGTTATCATCCAGCAAATATTTTTGGGCGGGAGCTGCACACTCTTCATTTTCCAGTCTCGTTAGAGTCCAAAAACGTATCCGAGTCCTTCGGAGGTGGGATAACTACTTTCCAACATCCAACCTCTCTTGCACAGGTGTGATGTGACAAGACTCTCACTGCTCTGTCGCTACTTCCATGGAAAGTACTCGGACGAGCTATACATTCCTTGGTTTCCCAGTTTTAACCTTCACGGCTATAACCCACCATGCTAGACACATTGTAGCAAACTTCACATATTTCCTCAGTATTCCATTGGGGAGAAGAAAGTTCCACTTGAACAGCTTCTTCTCAAGAACCTCTGCTCGGTAGAACTGACTCCTCAAGAGGACGTTTCCCAATCAATACAATCTTGATTTTGAGTCTAGGGTTAACCGTTATCTCCCCCCCCCACCTGCTATCCACATAGACTGCCTCAAAATATAACCCTCTATCTCTAGTAGCATCGTGCCTTCTATAGGGTGAACTTTGCTGTAAGAAAAAGAAAAAAAAAGACGCCTTAACGGGATCAAAACTCATTCGGTGGTGACGTTCCCTCAAATGAACTAACTATAGTTCTTACATCTCATTTTAAAAGGATCAGGATATTAGCATCAGGATTTTAGCAATATACGCGTAAGTCAAACTAATTGAGACTGAAGGGAACTTACTTCCTGTTGTGTGGTCGCCTTTTGGTCCTGTTAATTCAGAAGGGGTTGCAAGCCTTCTGCGTATCCAGTTTGCTCTATCGTATTTCCCTTGACTCCAGCCACATAAATCTTTGGTAAAATCGCAGCTCAAAATAATTTCTAGAAAATAAAGAAACGAAAATTGCGATAAACAAGTCACTGAAAATCTGTTAAACAAAATAAAATTAAGATTCATGGATATTCTATAAAATATGATTGATTTTTACTGAAGATAATCAATGTATTTTATTTGAAGCTAAAAAACAAAAATGATTTTAACATCTTTTCCAAATCATCATAGATACGGATGTAAGGATTTCATGAGGAGTTGTTACTTGTTCTGAAGAAGAAGAAAAAGAAGAAAAGAAGAAGAGGTTAAATAAATATTGAATAGACTGATTTGAAGAGAAGAGGCGCGATGGAAGTAGAGGAGAGACGCGATCGGCAAAGGAAAGAGAAGAGACACGATCGGCAAAGGAAAGAGAAGAGACGCGATCGGCAAAGGAAAGAGGAGAGACACGATCGGCAAAGGAAAGAGAAGAGACACGATCGGCAAAGGAAAGAGGAGAGACGCGATCGGCAAAGGAAAGAGGAGAGACGCGATCGGCAAAGGAAAGAGAAGAGACACGATCGGCAAAGGAAAGAGGAGAGACGCGATCGGCAAAGGAAAGAGGAGAGACGCGATCGGCAAAGGAAGGAGAGACACGATCGGCAATGAAAAGAGAAGAGACACGATCGGCAAAGGAAAAGAGGAGAGACACGATCGGCAAAGGAAAGAGAAGAGACACGATCGGCAAAGGAAAGAGGAGAGACACGATCGGCAAAGGAAAAGAAGAGACGCGATCGGCAAAGGAAAGAGGGAGAGACACGATCGGCAAAGGAAAGAGGAGAGACACGATCGGCAAAGGAAAGAGAAGAGACGCGATCGGCAAAGGAAAGAGGAGAGACACGATCGGCAAAGGAAAGAGAAGAGACACGATCGGCAAAGGAAAGAGGAGAGACACGATCGGCAAAGGAAAGAGAAGAGACGCGATCGGCAAAGGAAAGAGAAGAGACACGATCGGCAAAGGAAAGAGGAGAGACACGATCGGCAAAGGAAAGAGAAGAGACACGATCGGCAAAGGAAAGAGAAGAGACACGATCGGCAAAGGAAAGAGAAGAGACAAAATCTGATAAGAGAATCGAAGCTTTAATGAAAAACATACGAAGGAAATCGGGTGAATGCTTTGACATAAATTTTGTAGTCAAATATAAATTTACTTTTTTCTTCAGTATATTTGATTGTATTTTTTCTTATAAAGATATTTTGTTCCATATTTTTCGACATTCTTCCATGTATGTCTCCATGAAAAGGAAATACACAAGTTTCTTTATTGTTCAAAGTAGGTCCATTCTTACCAGGAACCACGTACTTGTGACATAGTAAGTTTAATATTGCAATACTTATTTCCTCTTCCTTTTCGCTATAGTTATTAAAATTTGTTTTGTTCAACACAAATCCACAAAGGAAAAAGCAAGAGGAAGATCGTATAACGCAATTTACTTGCAATATATATTCACTATAAATTATCTCCAATGTATATTTATTGGAAATTGTTTGCAATACTTTTTTTCGCTGTGATGAAATTTCAGTATTTTACACTTTAATTTATTGGCAACTTTCTCGTTATAAATTATTTTCTAATTATATATAAGCAGAAGTAACAGATGGATTTTGTTTACAAGTAAATTTTTATGCATCAGTTTTAGTGTAATATTTTACCGGCTGAGATAACATTTACACCGTTGAAGTTAATTAGATGCTGACTTAGAAATGAATTGAATCGATTGTTAAGGAAACAACGATAGAAAAACAGTTTAGCGAATGAGAAACAAAAAAAATTAAAATTTTAAATCTATAAGACAATAATGAATTTATTTCACTTACGACCTGGATTCACCGTTATTAACGGAGTTGTTGATTTTACAGGTAAGTTAGGGTCACAGTTTTCCTCCAATCGCTGCTTTGCTTGGAGTAGCTGAAAAACAAAATAATTAAAAAAAATATTTTGTTACATTCTAGGGCATTTCTGTGCGTGATAATAATTAGCGTGTTTGTTTAGTTGGCCATTAGAAATGAGTTAGATTCTCACTGGGTGACCCATACCTGTGACATTGTGCTAAGGTAGGCTAAGTAAGAAAATTTATCACATTATTTTGTCTGTTCGGTATATCTGCCCGTTTACTAATGCAACCATATTTAAGGCGTTTATTTCAGCATATTGCAAGAAAAGCTTTCAAATGTTTTACGAGTAAAGACAGATAGATGCTTTTATAAGTAATGACGCGAGGACGTATTTATGTAGTAATGACACAAGGCGCTGTATCGTGGAGCAATAAATAATAAGCTCATCTGGCAGACCATAATGGCTGAAATGAACTCAATCTTTGCGTACCGTAAACTTTCATCAGATTAATTTAGGCTTATAAATATTCATTACAGTTTTATTGAGTGTGACCTTCACTGCGTGCGCCATATTAAGTAAAGCTTAATAAACGGCAGGAGGCACGGTGGGGTAATGGAAAGCGGTTCGGATTGAGGAATCGTGGAGCCGAGTTCGAATACCAGTAGAGTTCATTAGATTCACTTTCCTCGGGAAGGCATGAATCCATCTCTCATCCCCTCCCAGCTATGAATAAATAGCAGGATAGACATATTAGGCCTTATAGCCTCAGGTGGCAACCGAACTAGAAGAAGGAAAACCCTGAAGAGGGTTAGGCTCCGTCAGTAAACACCACTGCTATTACGGTGTTTACGGGTCGTAATCATAAATAAATGGAGGTGCGACTGGCGTAATGGTTATCAGTTTGGAAAATGGTATCAGTGACTCGTGTTCAAATTCTTCTCTAGTGTCAGTTTACTTCGCATTACTATCCTTTGAAAAGAAAAACTGGTTTATTTAGTATAGGAAATATGCAGTTAATATAGGAATAAAACAATTGCAGATCCAAAATGAAGCTTACGGATGGTGGGTAATCTAGCAAGTACATGTGGATGGCCCAATGACTGTAAGTTACAAGTTACGCGGACAATTCTTCGATAACGAGGTTGAAGCGGACCATTTTATTTCGCCTCTGAATAATATGCATCCAGCTTTAAAATTTATACAAAAAAAAAGGAAATTGATTCTTCTCTTTCCTTTCTTGATGTTTTCGTTAACCGATCTTCGTCGGGTATTCTCATATTTATTTATCGTAAACCGATATTTACCGACTTGTATACCCGTTGGGGCTCTTTTTGTTCCGTAAAATGCAAAATTAATTTAATTAAAACCCTTACACATTGGGCTTTCATGTTCTGCTTTAAAACCAAGTTGGACGATGAACTCATATTTATTACTACTACTCTCTATCCTTTGGGCATTGCCAATCAATAATTACGAAAAAAATTGCTGAATTCAATAAAGACGTCCTATGTACCTGAGCCTTCCTTGGCTAGGTAATATCAGTGATAGATATGCTAAGCGGGTTTCTTTGGAGGTTCGACATTGTTACTTTGCTGTTAATACTCGTGTAGTCTTTTTTGGAAGACGTTCTTCCTCCACATCATAATAGTTCTTTAATTTATTCCTTTAAATGTATTTGTGGCTCACACTACATAGGGAGAACGATTCAAAGGTTGGATGTCAGAATAAAACAACACGTTCCAACAAAGATCCGCAATCTTTCACTCTTCCTTCGGACATTCTGACCAATTCATACGAGCCTTCCATTGCAGAATCTCCTAATAAATAACCATAAGTGTACTGCTAATTGCAGTCCTGACGCATTTACTATTCTTAGAAAGGCCCACTCGTATTACCACTTGTAAGAGTGGAAGGTCATTTATATTTTGCCTTTGAAAGCTTCTCTGTGAAAACAGAAGAATTTCGTACTGGGCCTCCAACTAATTCCCAATTAAGCAATAATTTTTTTCCATTACATATTGTTCATCTCTTTTTAGTGATAATTCTAAATATCTTAACCTCGATTTAGCTCTGTTGAGCGAGGTTCGAAACCGGTTAGCTAGCTCGTTTTTTAGTTTTATCTTTTACCTATTATCATCATGAGTAGTAATAAACATAAATATTGTCTTTATATATATATATATATATGAATGAATGATAGTAAAGTAAAAAAAATCCCCACCATAATATCTTTCTGATAATGCTTCTAGTTAGCCAACAGGCCTACTAATATACAATAAATATTATTTATTTTCATTATTTTTCGTTTTTTTTTTCTCGTGAATTCCTTTCATTGGCCTCTATCTCTCTCTTTATTATATATATTTCTTCTCCCGTGGAGACTGATACATGATAAGTTGACAGGCGGTTGAAATTTTCTTCTTCCAGTCTAGTTGCACAACCAAGTCTACAGAGACACATCTGTCCTGCTCTTTACCCATAGCCCGTGGAGATGAGATGAATTCATGTTTTTCCGAGGTCCTTATTTTACAGAATCAATAGAATTTGATTTCGGTTTGCTGATTCTGTCACCGTGCTGATAAACTTTTACATCACCTGAGCGTATATATATATATATATATATATATATATATATATATATATATATATGAGACGGTACGATATAAAAAAAAAAATTTTTCTCATAATATATGATTACAGATCGTTTAAATGTTGATTTGCTTTTTTGAAAAGTGATGTGTTTAAAAAAAAAACAAAGAAAACTTACTTTTACAATTTCCGCTAATCAAAGAGATGTCATCAAAGGCGATGTACGATTGAGAAGGATTACCGACAACTCCTTCAATGACTAACTGCAAGAAGAGAAATTTCATCAGATTACACATTGTATTCTGTATCGCGTAAGTTGTTCTGAAGAAAATCTGCCTTCTTATATTAAGAAAATTTGAACTAAACAAATGAAGAATTAAATTGGTTTAATCAGTTTGATACAAGATTTAATATTACCTACTTTTTCGACAGTCAGGTGTGCATCACCCTCCTCCAACCCGCCTAACAAAAATGCACTCACATTAAATGTTTAAATTGGTGAAAGAATTATAACACTGAAGGCAGTAAAACTGTTTTTTTTTTTTCATTATCATATTTTCTTTATTTCTTTTCATTAATTTTTCTGACTTTCTTAATTTTTTTTTTTTTCTTATTCTTTTACGTGCTTTTCCAAATACCGTTGTGTGAAACCAAACAGATTTAAAGTGTATGTCTGTATTTGGGTAGCAATCGTTCATTTTAAAGAGTTTCATTGAAGATGACTGACAAGGCACTGCAAATGAGCTTTTTATTAGCAACACCATATATATATATATATATATATAGCGGACTCTCCCGTCGTATTCGACGTATGAGGGTCAAGCAGCTCACTTCCTAGCAACTGACAGCCCAGACGCCAGCATATATGATTTGATTATAGTGGTGAAGGCTTTGTGCAAAAGCAACCAGACAAAAATATTTAAATAAATAAATAAAATAAATAAATAAATAAATAATAGAGATTTTACTGGAGATTTCCCACTTACCCAGAAGTTGTCACGTCTTGGGAATATAGGAACCGAAGCATATGACCATAGCCCACTTTGCGGACCGATGAGCCTCCATTCAAGAGAATATGCAGATTGTGTGAAAATGAAAACGCGTAGTTCACCAACATTTTTACCGCTCATGCTGTACCAAAATGTGAGGCAATGTGTCTTGACGTTCTCTGTGAGTGTCGTGCTGACCAAACGGGCTCGATCGCCCTGTCTTCGAGGAGCTTTCGATTCAATAATCATGTACGTACCTATGGTGACAAGAGAAGAATAAATCAAATAAAAAATAATGCACAGGCTTCATTTACTCAGCGTGAAAATTTGAAAATACCACGTGTCAATTTTTTTCTTGAAATTTTACTTAGAAATTATTTTTGATAATTTAGTAGAAATGACTTGAGCTATATGCTTTTTTATCTGGACTGAAACCTACTCGACTCTGAGGTATAACCAAAATTTTATTATTCTGAGTTATTTTATTATTTTTTTATATTATTGTATTATTATTTTTATTTATTTATTATGAGTTAGTTTCTATGTTTGTTGATGACGCTTTTATCTTTATACAAAAGAAAGCGATTAGCTTACCGAGCATTGCTGTTAGCTCGTCTCGTAGAACATTTCTATGGCTGTGAGCTCGATCCTTATTTGCTTCTTCAGCTTTGTGACCTCATGCCAATAAATATCTCTGAGGTATTAACGGAAAGCAAGAAGAAAGGACTAACTATTAAGTATAAGAAGACAGAATGCATAGCCTCCCGCTGCTCTATCGGAAAGTGCTTGGACAAACTATATTCCATGGTTCCACCAGTTCAAACCTTCACGGAAAGGACACATCATGCCACTTCCATAGTAGCGAAACACCCTCATTCCCTCCGTATTCCATCGGTGAGAAGTAAGTTCTACTCGAACAGCTTCTTTCCACGAAGCACTTTTCTTTTGGAACCGACTCCCAAGAGGATGTTTCCGTGATCACTACAATTTTAACCTGTTCATGTTAAGAGTTGACCGTTATCTTCCCCTTTTATCCGCACATATTGATTCTTAATGTAACCTTCTACCTCGAGTGGCCCTTGGGCCTTGTACAGGGTGAACTTTTAAAAAAATAGAAAAAGTTAGTTACACCACTCGCACATCTTGATATTCTTAAGTGGTCACCTATCTCAGTCCTGACCAGGCTCGATGTTGCTTAACTTCGGTGATCGGACGAGAATCACGTGATATGACTAAGTGATAAGTAGCTTCCTAGTACCTAATCCAAAATCGTTTGTTCTGTTCTTGAAACCAATGATAACGACGAATATTATGCTTGCCCGTACATCTGTATAATATGACAGTCTTTGATGTCGTCAGGTTAAAAAAAATTTAGTCATTTCAGTCATTCTCGCAAATAACAGACTTGATCTAACCGCCAGCGAAAGATGTAGTTTAAAAGATCTCAATGCATCGGTGCGTTCTGGGTATGACGACAAACTATATCCGGCAGCAAGTCATGTTTAGATACGGGCATCTCTGCAAATGGTCAAGATCCGGATCTTTGTAAAATGACTCATGCCAATAAAAGCATGAGAAAAAAGCAACAGTCGGCAAGACCCGGTGTCTTATGAAATATGTTCCGTGAACATTTTTGGTCCGCAACCTGCTGTGGTTTCCGAGGCAGTGTTATTTTTGTTACCATCCATCTCTTTCCCTTTCTGCTTATTACTTCCGTATTTGTTAGCTGCCCCTCTCCAGCCTCAACATGCCTTTGCCGTACATTCCTACAGAAAGTTCAAATGCTCCCAAGAAAATTAACTTTCGGCATTAAAGAACCTATAAGGAGTTTTTGTCCCGTTAAACGAACAATCGTTACGTTGGTTAAAACTGGTTTTAGACTAATCTCACGTCAAAAGATGGCGGTGATCGGTAAACAGACGAGATTCTGCTATCAAATCCTTAAGAGGAAGAGCAAAAGTAACGTTGATTGGTTTGAAGCAACAAAACTTAAGATCAATGTCCCAAACGAAGCGGTAATATCTTCCAATTTGCTCATTATATAGATTTCTTCAATTATACCATATTGAGGAAGCCGAGTGAGAGGATAGTTGTGACCGATTTATGTTTTGCGATTGAGGATTACTTCATAATCGAAAGTTTCTCACAGCTTTCGTTTTTTTTCCCGAAATCATATTCCCCCATTGACTTCTGTCTGCGCCGAATTCTCACGTCCGCTGGCAATACTTCATTTTCAACACCGCTGTTCACACTCGCTGCAAAATTGGTTCTCTACAAAATGCTTTACTCACAAGTTGATTTGGGCACCTCGAGGCGGTGTAATGTTTAGCGAGCTTGTCTCACTAGAATGATTACGACCGAGTAGTGAGTTCGATCCTCATTGGGTGCCTCCTTCTTTCGGCCTTGTGCCACATCTAAGCTACACTTGGAAAAATCACTAGTAGGGGGATCAAGTAAATCTCTACTCACAAGGCAACTTCGGTGGTTTGGTCATGCTCTTCGGCGATAACCAGGCGAATTCATCCGTGAGGCGATTGCTTAGTGGGCGCCTAAAAACGTGGCTTAAAACAGTTTAAGTGGACGTTGAACCGTTCTTGGGTTCGCGTGTTCAAGACACTAGAATCGTGATTGGTTTGCTCTTGCTGACTCGCGTGTTCAGGACACTAGGATCGTGATTGGTTTGCTCTTACTGACTCACTTGCATCCAACCCCCGAGCTGAGTCAGTTTTCGTTCGGGATGCGGCGAATTCGTTTGTCGGAACCAGCTCAACAGATCCCGGGTGAATGCCGTCGCAAGTACAAGTAAACAATTACAAATAACTTCGTTAGCTTTTTATCAAAACATAAATAAGAAAGTGCAAAATACTTACCATTTTCTGATCCAAGCGTGTGATCGGTACTTGGGCCGAGTGACTGGTGCGAAGGTTTCCCTGTCCGAGGCAACCAATCAAAATCGTCATCGCCACTATTTGACCAATCGCAAAGAACCTTTTCAAAGGAACAATCAACTACAAAAAGAAGGACAAAAACTTAATTTCAGAATATTGTATTAGACACTTATGGATTGTCAAGAGTAGTAACACCGAATGGCTTTATGACATAATAGAATTATTATGCTGGGAATATATATCTGAATATATATTTAAAAACAAAATGTATTTGAAAATATATTAAAAACAAACGATATATATAAATTTGGGCATACCCCAATTCTAGACCATCATCATTTAAAATCCCATTTAAAATCATTTACCATTTAAAATTCCACTTTTATTTTTAAAAGCTGTTTAAATACGGCGGGGGGGGCATCATAAAAACAACTTCAAACAACTAGTTTATACTCTTTTTCCTGTTAACCATGGATTGTTGTCAGACAGAGAATTAGCTCTTGTGACATCACTATTTCAGATCCATTCAAATTGTGTGCATATGTTTGTGGCGTGTGTGCATGTAGATTTTAATTCAATGACAGACGTAAAAATGTGTCTACATTTTTCTTTTTAATTTAAAATTCTTTTTATTAGTGAATAATTTTAGAAAAGTTCAATAAAATACCTATCCGATTATTTTACAGTTTAGAAACTTAACTTTTTTTTCTTGTCTTCGACTTGAAGATTTTATTACTCAGTTCAGGGTGGGTATTGTCCAGACTGAGCGGAGGGGAATGAATTATTATAATGTCTTATTCATCATCATCAGTCAACCATAGTCAGGATCATGGAGCCAATTCGAACGATCCTTTCTTTAGCTATATAGTATATGCTGCGTCATGTCTAAATACAGTTTTGAATTTAGATTTACTTTCTCCCCAAACGGTTGCCCCACCCCAAGGCTATAGAACACAGTCTGTTCTGCTATTTAGCCCATAGCGGGGGAGAAGAAATAGATACACACCTTTCCCAAGGGTATTTGTGTGTAAGTAAATATAATGAATTCGACTGGAATTCGAACTCGGCTCTCCGATTTCTCATCGAGAACCGATATCCATTACACCTCAATGTACACCCTTACATTCTATACGCGCATGTAAAGTTCCACACGCAGACAGTGTGTGACGGCCAGAGAATCAGCTCTTCTTTTATAATATATTGGGTTGGTGCATAATTATCAGACGTTTTGTAGGTGAATTATTTGTTAATAAAAATTGCTGTTTTGTTTAATTTTATGATTAAAAATATTATTTTATTTTCAAGTTATAAAAATGCGTGTCGATAATCATACTCTCCGGAATAATGATTTAAAAATGTTATTATTGAATTATGTTTATTTCTTCATCATAAATATTGTTTTAAAATGCCTGATAATTATGCACCAACCCATTAGAAGTTATGCAATTTACTTCAGATAATCCAAATTCCATGTTTCTCGATACAGGTCGAATATGCCGTTATTTGGGGTTACCAGATGTCATAGATCAGTGAGTTTCAACCAGTATACCTTGGAACACTGCTATGCTGTTTGAGGAAAATCGATATGCCGTGATTTTTTTTTAATCATTAATTTATTTTCGAAAGTCCAAAGCACAATGATTGTATGTATCAAAATTAAAATCCCTTTAAATTGATTATACGTGTATACCATTGTTATAATAAATAAACGTATTCAAAGTATACGTTTGCTTATTATGCACAACAAAAGCCAAGATATTTTCGATTTGATCGATAATTTCTTCAATTTTAATAATTTGTCTTGCGATTCCTACATAAGTATTTTTACGGATGGGGCCACTCTACGCCCGGAACTATAGATATTCTTTAAAAAAAAAAATTCAATCTCATTAAATTTTCAATTATAACTATAAAAATTAATATGTTTTTTTTAAGAATTTACATTATCTTTTTATGAAAAAGTATAATATATTGTTTTGTTTGCGTTGATAAATAAACCATTAAAAGTGTTTGGTTTTTTTATTTTACTCTTTTTTCGATCATAATTTTATGTGTGCCCCGGAAGTTTAACTATATGTTCAAGTATGCCGTGAGATAAAAAAAAAATGGTTGAAAATATTGTCATAGATCATGGAGATCCTAAGTTAATTATACCACGTAATACCGACTCAAGAAACCACTTACGACGCTCACATTTATTATAAATGCATGCGGTACCTTTACATGCTCAAATTTGATGTGTAAACCGATCATAGTAATGGAAATATTAGCGGTTTTCCTAAAAGGAAACATTTGGCATTCACTGACCGAGCAACCAGTATTGTTTTCGGTTGAAATTTATAAAATCTTCGTCTTTTTTTT